TATTTTATTTCTTATAACGCAAAGATAAGTGATATTCTTAAAACATAGAATTGCTATTAATAGATCCGAGTATACAAAACCTTGTATACTTGAGTTCACAGCAATTGATGGGCACTTATTTTATAAATCCTTGTGAATTCTATGAGATAATATTCACAGATGATAATTGAATTGCCTGGCATAGAAAAAAGAGGCACTAACCTTATCTTCTATGCTTTTTACTAAGTGTAGGTTGAGAGAGAGAAGAGGAAGTGGAGGAGGAAAGGAGGAAGAGGCAGTAGGGGAGGGAGAAAAAGTGAGGGAGGGAGAAGAAGGAGAAAAAAGAGAAGCAAAAGCAAAAGAGGGAAAGGAAGAGGAGGGGCGCAGCTTTCTATGAATTCTACAGTGAGTAATCCCTTTGTGATGACTTGCTCTTTAGATGTAAGGTACATTTAGGAAGACATCTTAATTAGATAATTTTTATAAATGCTAAGGTTGAGCAGGCGAAATCAAGGGACCTATATAATTAAGTAAAATTAGCCCCACCTGTCCTGTTTCTTTATATAATTCATCATGAATTCTCAAGTAGGTACAAATTGTTTTTCATCCTAATATAGGTAACCTACTTAATTCTTATTTGCCTTTAAAATCATGAGACATCAATCTATAAGTACTTGAAATACATTACAATAAATGGGATCCATTTTATCATAATTCTTATGTGCCCTCATGTTGGAAATACACATAACCTGAGAAATTTAAAATAATTCACCATCAGATACCTAATCATGATCACTTCCAAATACACATGTCTTTGTGTAGATTATAAGTTCACAATGCTATCATGATTATTTCAATAATCTGTGAGAAATATATGCATTAATAAAGAGCCAATGTGAATTTTTCTCTGATTGGAAGGAGGATAACTTCAATCCCTAGACCTTGCTGCAATGCTCTTTTAATTGGTCTCTGTGCATAACAAGAAATAAATAAACACATACTGTATGTCACTTTTTGAATTAAATAAACAGACATGATAAAGTTTAAGACCGTTAGAAAAACTATGACACTCTTGTGATAGGACACATTTTCAAAGCATGCTGAGCAATCACTGGGCCCCACAAATTATTGGACACTTTCTACAGCTGACATAAAATTATGAGCTGGGAAAAACATTGTTGGTCAATCTTCAGATGATTTCTAAAGTGATTCCTAAACATTGTTTTCCTAAAACCTGCTAGAATTGATTTTTCTTAACAAAAGTTCTTATCATAAAATATAAGAGGGTCATGAAACATAGTCTAGTCTGATAAGGACATTTTATTGTTATCCAAAACAAATACCTAACATATACATAGTCCCAGTCCATCTGTCAGAAAGCCTAATTCAGTTGGCACAAGATAGACCCAAAAAACTACCCCAGAGGGACATATTCCACTTCAGACTTTTAGGAGTTCTTACTCATAATAGTCACTGTCTAAATTTTAACATGCTAGGCACCTGGAGCATTGTATAAATCACGTCTCCAAACTAATTGGAAATTAAACATTTATTTGACCACAGAGATGCTGCAATGAAAGTTTGTTTAACCAAAGAGAATTAGTCAATTCTTTGATTTCAGTTATGAAAATCGTTTCAAAATCTGATACTATCATAAACATACTGGATTACAGAGGAGATTAAGAAAAATGTACAATGTTTGTACTATTATTTTCCCTAGAAACTTTGCAAACTGAGAGTTAAATCTTATTTATTTGGTACAGGTCTCAATACATAGCTCAGATTCAGTGATTCTCCTATATTCAGCCTCCCCAGTGCTGGGATTACAGGCATGTACTGGGGGCGGGGCCTGTGCAGCATGTGGTACCGGGGATTGAACCTAGTCCCTGCATTTGCCTAAGCATGTACTTAGTCCCCTAAGCTATCTCTGTGGCCCGTGAGAGTTAAATCTATGGTCATCTTACCTATCTCACATAGAAGTGATTTGTATAGAGCCCACAATCTCTCATAGATGTTGGCAACAGTGACTTACACTCCTCTTCTTGTGTCAGAAGAGCAGTAAGCTAATCTCTGTGCTCTTATGTTGTCATTTTTACAGAGCTACTTGCACAGAGGTGCTCTATGCTTAATTTATTCCTGGTGTACTCAGAGAGCAATTTTGATGTTAGCTATCAGAAATGCACAAACCCTTCCAACTATCAGCACATCCAGATGGTGCAAGGGCAGAAGCAATCTCAGCGCACACAGGTGAAGTGTCCGCCACTCCAGGTGCTTGACTGCAGTCATTAAGGAGCCAAAGAGGCAGGAAATCATACATTCCAAACACATGCTTTAATACAACCCAATATTCCCTTTGTGATGGAAATCAGTGTAAGATTTCCGTGAGATAATTTATAAAGGAGGATAATAGTTTTCACTCGTTTACTCAATCTAGAGATATACTTCAGGTAGAAAGCTAAGCCGTGCAAGAAAAACCTGGGAGCTAAAATTAAACCCTGACATTTCTAACAGTCCTTTGCCCACTTGAGGAATGGCAGTCGAGACTGTTTACTGAGCTGACACTTGCTAAAAATCATCTAAGATTTATAATCACCTGACTGCTTCAACCCACTTTGGGAACTCTGAAAACTTTCATAATACTCTTCCTCATTCAGCTTTGAAGTAAGAGGTCCTTATTTATTGCTACAAAGACACTGGCTTAACTTTTGAGCTTATTTTTCTCTACATATGAAAACTCAAGAGCTGTCAGTCTTCATTTTAACATAACCCTTCAAACATTAGGACAACCTTGCCCCTACCTGTTATGAGCTGTGAGATCTGGGGAAATAAGAAAGCCTTACATTTTTTGCAGCACAAAAATGTTAAACATAAATTCATTGCACTTCATAGTCATTAAACAATTTTTATCTATTGATATAATTCATTCTCAAAACAACTGTGAAAACAGTTTGTTCACCATAGGCTGTTTTGTTATGTGTCAGATAACAGGAAAAAGCACAATAAAGAGTGACCTGTAGTTATAAATATAAATTGAGATAATATATCTGAAAACCTTAAAAAATTAATTCAGCATTGCTCAAGCAAAAGGTTGCAACGTAACAATAATTCTACTGTTCTACTTTTTTCATTCTATTGCAATGCATTTACCCATTGCATAGGACCTATTCAATTTTATTTTTAATTTTTCTCCCCAGTTCTCAAAAATATATTGGCACAAACAAAAATAAAAGTTGTTATTTATTTTTTATGTATTTGTATTTTAATTATTCATTTTTAAAAATATGTATTTATTACGGGGTCTACAGGATCTCACTACAAAGATCGGACTCTTAGTGACTCTTTTGCTTTTAGCCTCTCAAATGCTGGGATTATAGGTGTGTGCCACCACCCAGCCTCACTGGCCCTCTCAGCACACCCTGCAAGGCCCAGCAGGCATGGCACACACAGGATCAAACCCAGTCCCTTTGCCAGCCTGAGCAGGCACTTCAGTCCACTGAGCTATCTGGTCAGCTCCCCAAAATAAAATTATTTATAATAATTCACAATATATTTCATGTCAAGGACAAGATAACTACAGTCAATTGTTATATGGTGATATCTTATTTTTCTTTCTCAATAACTCCTTTCCTTTCTCAAAAATGTTATGAGATGATTAAGATATGAGTCTTATGTCCACTAAAATTTTATATTTTCCTTTATTCTGCAACATAATTTCGGTCAAATATTTTCTGCTCTCAACAATGAAGTTTACTTTTCCCCCACATTTTTCTTATAGTTCCTTCTGATGAGTTTTATCTGATGCTTTGTGTAGTTTAAAGTAATTTTTCGTCTTAGCCAGTGTTTTTCTACCTATTATTTCTGACTCAAGTGAGGGGCCCAAAAAATTTCAGATGAATAAATGAACAAATGGAAAAATAGATTACCATTTCCGAATTTTAGGAACTCAATGGAACACATGTGAGCATATTTGTTTTATTTTTTGAAAATTGCCAATAAAACCAAAGATTGATTCTTCTCAACAAACAAGATGGCTGATGTTGCTGGTTAACTCTTTGTTGGAAGAAGTCATAAACTCTGTTCTGCTTACTTGGTGTGTGTCACTCCATAATGCTTTCCTACAACTTTTTGAGTCTAATAACAAATAAGGTGCACACGAGTACAACGACTTCCTAAGCAAAACCCAAGAGCTCACAGGGGTCGGAGCCAGGAGCGAGGCCTGCACACCACAAAGTGGGCTTCAATCATCTTTATTTTATTTGGTACTGGATATTGAGCACACAACCTTGTGCTTGCCAGGTAGGCACCGTGCCTGCTGCTGAACTATGTCCCCAACCCCTTTATTTTGATATTATTATATAAAAGTAAAAATGGATCATTCCCACAGAATATTGGAATTTTTAAAACCAGTTGAAATACTAATTCATTATGAAATCATTTCTTTACTTGCAATCATACACAACACGGTTCCTTTATGTGCTCTCTTTACTCTCAGTAATTTCTTCTTCATCTCTTTGCAAATAATCTGAGGTCTGTATTACTGACCACAAACATTCGAAGTGTAATCTTAATCATTTTATAAAATTTCTGACTCACTTTTACAAAAATACTTCCCTAAAAGCACCAATCCAATTACTTTTCTTGATTTAAAACCCAGTAAGGGAAAGGATCTTAAATGGCTTTGGAATCACAAAACACTTTTAACAACTTAGAACATGAATTCGAATGTCAAGAATCTAATATTCTCCAAGATGTCCTTTGCTCATGACACAGGTTTAATTGCCACCTCTGCGGATACATTTGAAGAAACAACCATTTGTGTCTGCTCTGTTCACGAACACATTATATAAATAAATTGTACATACTTGTTCAACATACATTGAAGATATTTTGGATTTCTCTGAGAAAAAGATAGGCACTTCTTCCTGCCTATGCTATAGAAATAATTTTGTCTAGAAGAAGGTTAAAGAGTTCTTTCAAAAATTAAAGCCATAGACATATAACTACTAGGGATAGCTCCATACCTGTTTTATTGGAAAGCCTAAACGACATCATCTTATCAGGAATATTACATACATTCCTTACGGAAGCGATGCAGCTATAATTAGCATAGTCCTGAGGTCGAAGATTCTTCAGTTTTAGGATCTTTGTTTCACCCTGAAAAATGCAGAAAAAGTCATTAGAATAAAAGCTGATTGTCAACACGATGAGTCAACAAGCCATAGCACTATATTTTCATAAATCCTACTAATAGCACAGTATGACAGATTGCCTTTTTAAAGCGCATGCTCCAAATTTAAAAAGAAACATTCCATTTAAAAATAATACTGCAATGTGCCTAGAGGTAAAATCTAACATTCATAAAATTTTCTTTGCAAAATATATTCCTAGGAGAGAAAAATCTATTTCTGGCGGTAGTTATGCAAATTATTATGCAAAGATCAGAACAGTGCACTTAATAATCGAGTTTATTCAACAAACACTGCAATCTATGCAGACTTCGCCATGAAACATTTATGAAAGAGGATGCTGAAGAACAGCCAATAAGTGAAATACTGTTCAGAGCACAAAATTAATGAAGTAAGTCTAATGACAGATAATTAAATTTATAGGCACAAATATTTTGCTTATACAGAGCAGTGGTAGGTGACAGATTAAAAATGAATGAAAGAAATATGTTTGCTTCTATATTATTCTCACTCTTTTATATTTGTCTATCATCACTGTTAATCAGAGTTCCAAGGTTAGGTCTGCCTGATAAATCTCCCCAGTTATAAATGTAGGCATTTTAGGAAAGCATCCTGAAATGTTTTATAATGTGATAGACCAAGACAGCATAAAATACTGGACTGAAATTGTTCAAAGGTTAGACAGAATAAACAAACAATGATAAAAGGAAAACCCTCCTGCTTGAGTAAAGTCATGTGCCCTGGCATCTCTGCCACTTTATTATTATGTTTTCCCAAAGCAATTCCTCTCGTGAGTAACTTACTTGCAGCGATGGCAAAAAAAGACCTCGATGACTTCCCGTTTTGCAACAGTTGTCAGCAAAATACTGATTTTTCCTAGATAGCATCTGTGTGAGACATTATGATTCTTTTTCTACTTTACTTGGCCAAGAGTAGCCAAGTCCTAAAAATTGCTGTAGTTCCATATGCTACAAAGAAGAACTGGAATACATAGCAACTTAATATATAAACACACTGCTGGCCTTATGCAAGACAGTTTGCCTAGATTTAGGCAGAGATCTCCTTGTGTGTCTAGGGTACATGGCCTTATGACCAAAATCCTCTCTGGCCACTTTCAAAATTCAGTTTTTAATCGATCATGGCTTTAGCATTGTCCAGAGTAGAATATCAGTGATGTTCAGTTTTATTACTCACATTATGAAATGACTAGCACTATCAGGCTAATTAATGTAGCCATCAGCTCATATATTGTAGCTACATTTTCTTTCTCATTGTAAAAATGGGAAATACAACCATACTGCCTCCTTGTCAAACACAGGAATGATAAGCTTTCAGAAAGATTTTGTCTTTTGCTCTATACAAATATACACAGAAAGCGGTGATTTTAGAATATGTTTAAAATATGTTCTTTTATGTTAGAGATTTTTTTTTTTTTTT